AATACTTTTTAAACCATGAAACTGATCATATTTTAACCTTGTTACACACTTAAGCAGTTATATTTAATAGTTTTGTAGTTCGTGTGGTGTTTACATAGTTTGGCAGATCCACTGAACCATGAATAAGAAAAGGCTCGCAAGACAGACTTATTTCTGCATATTTTCTATAAGTTCGTTGTTGTATTTGGTGCAAGAATTTGATCCTGTATGAGTTGCTCTCCAAGGGAACTCTTCCCCCACCTTTTTCCCTCACGGCGTGCCCAGCTGAGACTAACAGCTTCCTGGAAGGCAGGACAGAAGTAAAAAAGATCTGCGTCATTTTGTGTCAGGCTGACTTCTGGTAAGCATGTGCATTCCTGTATCCCAGCTCGGGGTACCCAAAATCTTCTTTTTGATGATTCTGCACCTCAGACTTTATGCCAGACGCCACATGTTTAACTAAGCATCCAATAACAAAGCTGAAAGTGCAATCCCAGGTGGTATTGTGGATTGATTCTGGATTCTGGAGTCTCCTCACAGCAAAGTTCACTTTAAAAAAAACTTCTTTTCAAAAATCATTTTGCATTATCAGTGTTAAGCAAGCAATTCCGCTCTTTAACAGGTTTATTGATCGTGCTCTTTGTGTCACGATGCTGCAGGGAGTTCAGCTAACCCAGGACCATGTTTTTAGAATATGTGTGGAATGCAGTTTGACACAGTGCTGCTGAAATAAGCACGATACTCCACAGGAAATGATGTTCTAGATGGTATGATATACTGCTCTGGCACCTGAATTGATCATTTTTTAGGTGCTCACAGAGATGTGTGAATGACAAACCCGAACCCCATTGCGGTATATTTAGAATTTTGCAGTTTAATCATGTTTGTATCAAAATTTGACCTTTTTTCATGAATGTTGGAAGGCTCTTAAATGTTTTTAAACCAGCATTTGTGTCATATCTGCTGTCTTTTGAGGGAAACAGGCAACTGTGTCTTTGCATGCAGCCTTTAACACCCTAACATCGCCGTAAGCCTGCCAGTATGGAGCAAACTTGCCTTTACACCCAGAGGCAGAATCACTGTCGAGGTGTGAACTGTGAACCGAGCTTCCCTCGGCAGATCGCTCACCTACAGCCACTCCACCCCCCCCCCACCCACCCCCTCTCTGCCTCTGAATCAAGCCTCTCAGCCCTGCTGTGCGGATTACTGGCGCTGTTGATGTGGAGCGGGGGTGTCAAAACCAAAAGTTAACACAGGTGTGTCCGAAAAACACAGAGCCACATTAAAAGTGGCCTTTTAGTTCTTTAGTTCCGGTTATCTTTACACGATTTCCGTGTGACCGCATCCAGCCTTCAGATGTCGGAGGATCAGTGAGCAATTTGCAGGCTGTGTTTGCTGAGGTGTCTGTGTGTTTCTATGCCTGTGAGTGTTTGTGGAAAATTCTGACTTCACTTGTGCATGTGCGTGTGTGTGTGTGTGTGTGTTTAGAGGTCTGCAGCAGTCTGTGCATTAAAACCTTTGCTAGTCACCTCTGTCTGGCAGCCTCAAATGACTGATGAGATATCTCCACTCATCTCTCCACACAGCTTAATGTTTCACCGAGCTGGTCATCCGTTTCCCATCACAGGGCCGGTTTCACCTGGCGTGAGACGGGAGGCAGGTACGCTCACGCCTTTCCCCGCATGGCCCCAGGTGAGCTGGCACATGCACGCCGTCTAGACGGGAATGGCTGAGTAATGCTGAGGCGTACAGAAAAGTACACATTTAATGATATTTCCTCTCACAGCTCTGGAAAGTGCATTTGCATCATCAGTGTCCTTGATATTCAATGTTGGAAGAGGAGACTTATTATGCGTTTGTTTGCTAAAACATGTGCTTTATTTAACAAAAAAAAAAAAAAAAAGGATTGGAAGTTTTTAAGCAATGAGAGTTAAAATGAGGCTGGAAAAGTTTAGACAATGACAAAAACACACTAGAGAGACAACACTCCAGTGTATTATTCCCTCCACAGCGTTTTTAGGAGGCAGGAAGGAGCTCTGGAATGCTCTGACCTAATTTTCTTTATATCCCATTCTGCTCTAAGACAAACCACGTCTTGTAAAACACATAGCGAAACACAAAAAAGAATGGAAAGTGCTCGCTCAGAAAGACTGAATGTTCTGGAACAGCCAGGAAAAATAGATCAGGACATCTTGAGCATTCACGGTTCTCACTGCAGAACTGAATTAAGAAAGGGTTTCATCCTCGCGCAATGACTCACTCGCGCTTTCCTTTGGACATTTTGTATGTTTAAACATTTTTCAGTTTTCAAACGATGCAAAAAAAAATGTGCCGGTACTTTTCCCTGGAGGCCAGCAGCAGGTCTGACCGTTCAAAGCGCCCCTTTGTCTGCTTCCCTCCGGATCCTCTGAGGACAACCTGCCCGGTGAGAGGTGACGGGGCAGGTAGGCTGTGGTGAGGAGTCCCACACGAACGCACATCGCAGACACACACCAGCGGGGTGAGTGGGCCGACCGGTCCCCCTCCCTCCCTGGGTCCGGAAATGACTGTTGAGCGCTCTGGAAATGTGCCCTGTCCGTGTGAATATCCTCACCTGTCCTCTGGCCGCCAAATCAGGGAATTCATTAACGTGATGGACTGTGGTCTCCGTTTCATGAAGCAATCAGTCTTGGTCGGACAGACAGGAGGAAAAGGGACAGATGCTTTCACGCGGGCTCCAAATTCTGTGCGTGTGCGCGAAGCTCGTTTTGAGACAAACAAACAAAGAGGCTATTTTTTTCACTCTGGTGAGTAAACAAGATGCAGGCTTGTTTCCTCTACTTTTCTAGTTCGTCTCATTAAAAGCCGTGGGCCCCGTCTGGGGATTCAACCCCACAGAGGGACTGCTCCCCCCCCTGAGTGAGTCATGGACGGTGCAAGTGAGGGCACACGATAAAGAAGCGTGGCGTTCTCTTTGTGATGGAGCCCGACGTTCCTCTAGTCTAACCCGCCCACCGCAACGCCCAGGAATAGAAACACCCGCGTTACCCAGATAAGGTCATGCTTATTCACACCTGACAGCAGGGTGCAAAAACACAGACAGGGCTTTCCACAGCTCAGCGACATGAAAAGGCCGGCGTCCTGGAAATGGTGGAACAGCTTATGTCAAGTTCGACTGGCGGAAGCATAAACTGTGTCTGACCCGAAGGGAGCAGAGCTGTCTGGAGAGGAAGAGGGCGTAGTGCGGCAAAGAGAGTGGTCCTTTCAGATAGGGAAAGACCCTCGAAATAAGGTCAGAGAGGTGGGACCTCTCGATTGTAATTGTACTTTTTCACTATAAACAAATAACACCACTGGTTCTCGTGAGGATTCTGTGTGTGGGGCTGCTTGTTGCAGAGCAGTAGGACCCCTTAACGCGTCCTCACAGCAGACCTGAGGAAAACTCTGACTGAAGACTGTCGGTTCTGTTCAGCACAGGGCTAAACTTCTACATTCTCAGATTCCACTTGGAGGTTATCTAATATAGATTATAGATTCCATCTGGAGGTTATCTATATATCCAACACTGTGTTTTTGTCATTATTGTCAGGAACTCTTAAGCATCTACACAGAAAAAAGAACAGGAAAATATTTCTTTGCATTTTTTTTGTTTCTTTGGACTAAAATCTATGTTTTTAAGAGGTAGTTTGAGTGACACATTATGGTAAGAAAGTGACATAAAAAAAGGCAAAACTGATTTTGAATAAAAACTAAGAAATGTTTCATCCTGAATTGTGAAGCTTCCATATTGAGAAGATTAGAAACACAAAACAACAATTTTGCAGCTACAAATGTCACATGTATTTTAGTTTTCAAGGACCTGAAAAACTGAGCTGACTTTTAAAACATTTTTTTTTTTTACTCAGCTCTTCTAGCCCCTGTGGTCAGCTCATCACAAGGCTGTGCGAGTGCCCCGCATGACTCAGAACATAATTCAGTAGATGAGATGCTGCCGTTAGCGCCGCCCGCTTGTCAGAGCCTGGCCGTCGCTCTGTCAACGACCCCACCCGAGCCCGTCTCCACGGCAACTCGGTATTGTAGCACTGTGTTGTGGAATCTGTGGCGAGATGTCGCAGGGCCTGTCTCCGCGACTTCTCCAGCGGAGCAGCAGATGCTCTTCACATCCTGTGCAGAAAATTTGGACTCTGATTCAGACTTGAGCAACGGTGGAGAATTGCTGACGGCCTCAAAGCGAGTTACTCAACTCTATCGCAGCTGTCTGGGGGCATAAACTTCTGCATAACCTCTTATTGTCCGTGACGCTCATATTGCCTCTGTGCAAAGGGGCGCGTTACCTTGTGGCATTAAAAAGCTGGAGAGCGGGAAACTTCCAGCCGGACAACTTTTCCCGGACAGTCAGAGCTGCTGTTCGTTTCTAACCTCATCCCTCAATTGCATTCATGTAATATCTTCACCTCCAATTTTCCACCTCTCATCTAAATCTTTTAACCCCTCCTCGGGTGCCCCTCGCCCCCCATTTCTTCCCTTCCTCCACCAAATACTCCGTCCAGCTGTGGCCACCTGGCTCCCCTGCTCTAGAATTCCCATCGACACTACAGTACGTCCTATCCACACTTTAAAAACAAGAGCACCAAAGGATCTCCAGATGTTTCAGTTTTCAGAGCCTGATACCACAAAGTTGAACATCAGACTTAACTTTTCATCGTACAATTTCGTCGTACAATTCGCTCCTTTTAAAAAAAACTAAAAGAAATGGGTCGACATTTTGGAAAATAAGAGTTAGTTCCTGTTTATTGGACTTGACACTCGGCCCCACCCTACGATTTTGCAGGAAATAAAAGCGTCTTTATTTGCAGGCATCAAAGGGATTTGGTCATCCGGCCCTTCACCTGAGGCCCCGGGCGAGAGGACTGTACAAATAAAGAAAGTTGAAAAATGGAGCACCTCACCTCTGCAAAACACCGGGATAATGTCAAGGGGGCCTGTTTTCTTTTCTTTTTTTCCGCGTTGAGAAAAAAACACACGTCAGCCGGGCTCCCATCAGGCCTCCAAGCCTGAGAGAGCCGGAGGGCTGGCCACAACAATCTTGCATAACCTCCAATAAAACTATGCATTGTGTTTTAAACAAACAAGAAACACATGTGTTGTAGGAGTCTTCGACAGATTTTACAAATCAAATTCTATCTACAGGTGTTAGAAACCACACTAACATAACAAACCAAAATCTCTCTGAGTCTCTGACTCAGCTGCTGGCAGTTGTCTTTTTTTATATATACACAATGAAAACATTATTCAAACACTGTCAGAGTCTGTTTGTAACAGAGGAGAGCGAGAGAGACCCTGACTGCTGACATCGACAAAACGCACACGGTCAGAGAGTTGGCGGAAGAAGATTATTGATCGGGACAGGTCAGGGGCGTAGGTTAGAACTACTTTGGATCTTGAATAACAACGGTAAAAGAAATGATGCAATGTTGCCTTTTTACAATGAGATCATTTTTTTTGTGGTTATAAGCGTTTTTCTGGGGTAATTGATGATGATGTGATGGTTAGCTGGTGAAAAGCAAATAAAGAAAGACTCTGGAGCAACATAGTTAACTATTTGTTAATGACTAATTTGAATATAAATCCTAATTGAGGACTTTAAGAAAAGTCTTAATGAGTTATTAGATGATAAAATGTCCAGTAGTAAGGAATTATTCAGGAGTAATAAATAGATTAATATACCTTTATTTACTACTTTCTTAATAAACTGTTTTAACTTCAAACCTCTGACACTTCATTTGGGAATTGTTAGTCATTATTCTTTGTTTGATTTGTCTGATTAAATCCAGTTATGAGTCCCTTGCTAATCTGTAAGTTTTTGCTCGACAGGAACTCCTCCTAAATTTCATGATTTGTCCCCTGGAAACTAATCAAAAGGTTGGGCTTCTCAACTTTTTAAGATACAGATATTCACTAGTCTACATCTGTAGGAAAATATCTGAATGATTCTGAATGTGGAAAACTGTCCCGTTGGAAACCCGTTGCAAAGACACAGTTGTTGTTTTTTGGGGGTTGCTTTGTTGCCTTTGGGCCTTGACAGATTGCCATCACCAAGAGGGGAAAAAAAAAAGCTTGTTTTTTTCTGCCGGGAAGCGTCCTCGGAGATGGAAGTTGATCTATGACAGAATGGCTTGGAGCAATAATTCACAAGCATGGACCCGACATTAATGTCAAGAAGCTTGTGACCTCCAGAGAGCCCGGCACACCAGACACTTTAAGAATCTGCTTATCTGATGCAGCTGTGAGGAGAATGGGCAAAAAATCCTGCAAGAAGGGTGGGATTCAAAACTTCAGGACATGCTTGTCTGGGGTTGCCGTTGCAAAAAGAAACTTGAATCCATGTCTACACCTAATCTTTTTGTTCAGAGTTAGAGAGGATTTAAAGGGCTCATTCAGTAAAAAACTGACTTGAATTCCAAAACTTTTGGCTAGGAATCAATATTGCCTAATACTGTGCCTTGTACACTTGGAATGACAGCTAAAAGCTAACTCCATGGCACAGTTTATCTTAGGCTGTTCTTTCCACAGTGATGCCACTCGGTGATGAACTGCAGATGTTCTCACACCTCGATGTGTCTTGTGCGGCCATTTCCATGGAAATCTCATTCTACTTAAACATCAAATACAGGTGGGATGTCTCGCAGTCGATTGTCCGACTCAAACAATGGCTACTTTTTTGATATCCATGGAAAATGAGACTTAAACCGAGAGCAAATCCCGCTTCAAGAGCGGTTTCGAGGTCATGCCAGGTGGAACTCTTATCAGCTGTATAAATCACTGTGAGGACATCCAGAGTTGAGATGGATCTGGGTGGAAATGTGGATTTTACGTATGAAACACAGAGACAGAGGGTGGAGAAGAGGTGGGGTGAATTTCTTTGACAAAAGCCAGGCTGCCTTCCAGAGGCAGACAGCTAACATTAACCTAAGAGTTGACTATTTTAGTAGGAACTTTTAAATCCACGCATCACATGTGAGGCATGGGTACACATTATGAACCTGGAAGAGATGGTTAAGTAATGCTAAGTGTGTGGTGTTTTGATCCTCCACAGTTTGGCACCATTTCATATGTGGAATGTATTTTCCACATGGGACAGATTGTTGACTCAGTTGAGGTCACTATAAAAAAAAAACACACGTTTTTACCGTTTTTTTCTCCCTCCGTTTCCCCAAACCTTCTCACCCGCTGGCACATCTCGTTCCGTGCGTCGTGTGACAGGAATTACTTGACCGCATCGCTCACATAGCCACTGTTCTCCGAAAACCAGAGCCATGAGTAAGTTTAGAGGAAACAGTTGCTCCTGCAAGGAGACGGGAGGCTGGCTCGGGATTCCAGTTTGAAGAACTGGAAGAAAAAGCTATATTTGGTCAAATGTGTGCAAACAAAAAGTTTTTAAAAGCAATAGAAACAAGTGGTTGCAAATGGAACATAAGTGGCAAAAGAGGTGAACATAAAACACTTTATATTCATGTAGTGAGGAAATTACATGTACCAAATAAGATTTACTTATTTCTTCTGATTTTACCAGACACGTTTTTGTGTTAGTTATACTTTTGGGAAAAAATGTTTTTAGAATTACGTATCATTTTAAAATGAACACACACTGAGCCTTACACTTTGAAGAAAAACAGACAAATTATTAAAAAAAGGGTAAAATTGCATGATAAATTGGGAATAGGGGGTGGAGACAGAGGAACAGATTGAGGAAAATCTGTGTGTGTTTGTTTTTGTTCCCTTATTTAGACCATTTCTGTTGTAAAAAACTGAAAATATAGAAATAATTTGTCATCACTGAGCTCCCAGCCTTGTTTTTGTGGAATTCAGAGTGAGTTTGTGTGAGCAGTGGAAGGGTGGACGACCAATGCCGGACAGTTTTAAGATGCTGTCACCGCATTTGAGCCTGAGCCATGTTTAAGATTCAAATGATTTACTGTCAAATGCTGGGAGAAAACAGCACTTCTTTTGGGTGCCACAACTAAATTCTTGCTTCATTCTCTTAAGCCTGTCAAGCAAAAAAGATAAATGCTGAACGGACATAAAAAAGAGCAGGAAAAAGTGCAGTTCTTAGAAAAAGAGGTAACTGTGATTTGTTTAAAGTGAGTCAGTGGGAGTGTGTGTGTGTGTGTGGGGGGGTCCTGTGAGAGTGTCCTACAGTCTTATGGCCCGTGAGAGCTTTGGTGTCTGTGATTTTCCTCTCCTGTAACGCTGCCCTGAGGGTGGAGGTGTGAGGAGGTGAAATTGTGGATGTGAGCTGCCTTTGATGCTGTTTTAAGGCCATCTTGACGACACCGTCCGTGTTAAGGCCCGAAGGGGACCAAACTGTGATGGCTTGGTGATGACGCTTCTGTAGGGAGCTGCTGTGGATTTCGCTTCGCATGCCAAACTTCCTCAGTCTTCTTCAGAAAGAGGAAATTTGGCATGTCCAACGAAATGCATTATAAGGGGGAAAATGATGATGTAGGAATAAGGATTGCACAGCTGGACATGGACAAAAATAGACCTGCTGTACATGTCTTTGCAGAACAGATATCTGATAGTCTAGATGCAGTTATAAAGCTTCACTTCTCTTTTTTTAAATCAACAATGAGCTAAAACAGCTCCTGGGGGTGTCTACCTATGCAAATAAACGCTCGTGGAAGATCAGACTGAGGTGAAAGCAAAACAAGTAGCAAATGCAGAGTTAATCATCTATTTTTCACTTTCTATATTTAACACACAAGAAAAGATTTGCTGATTGTTGATCCCAGATTATGATAATCTTTGATTATTTATAATGATGGCGTCAGCAGGGTGCGTAATCCTCATGTTTTTAGCGCAGGGAACTTTGGTGACTTTGGCAAGTGTTTGGTGACCACTAACCAGTAGGATTCGTATGGAGTCGTTTAGTCTCTTTTCTTGATAGTTAGTGACATCCTAACGAGCAGGACCCTGTGGGCTTTTCTCTTTTTTTTTCGCTCTCTGAGGATAAACCTTTAGCGTTTTTTTCTTTTCTTTTTTCTTCTCATGTGGCTCCTTTTCATTCCTTGAAAATTAAACGGGGGGACTGTGTGCGTTGCTCACACGCGGGCGGGTCATCCAAATTCCAGCCAAATCCCTCCCCTTTAAAAGCCCGGAGCTCCGCTATAAAGCCGGTGCGCTGGCCTCTCCTCAGCCCTGAGCACCAGCTGCGAGGCGGAGCAGAGGAAAGGGAGATACAGCCACATCCCTCCGACACTTCGTCCTACACGCTTGCATCTCTTTGGTCCACTGCTTGTGTTCCAACCGAGTCCTCGTCCGTGGACAGAATGACCGGTGCCCATCTGACAGGGCTCCTGGTCGCCCTCTGCGTCAGTAGCGCAGTACACGGTGCGCCAAAGAAGAGCAGGAGACAAACCGGCCAGTATCAGGTGTATCCTGAGCTGCACGATACGACGGATGTTACCTCAGGTTAGTACAAAATGCTTCCACTGACATGTTCTGTGATGTATGGCCTCTCAAACATCAGATGAATGCTCCAGAGCTGTGTTCTGTCTCTAAATAACAGAGATTTTTCATGTCCTGATAGTTCAGTTGAGCTCTAAATTGGAATGTAATGCAAACAAGAGCAGCAAAAAGTGGTTTAAAAAATCAGCGAACATTTAGTTCTGGTACTATTTGTGGGTGCTTTTTTTTGTAGGTGGCTGTGAGGAAAATGGTCGCTCCTACAGACTAAACGAACAGTGGGAGAGATCCTACCTTGGAAATACTTTGATTTGCACCTGCAGCGGAGCGGCAGGCATCAACTGTAAATCTAAGTCTGAAGGTCAGAGGCCAAGCTTCTACCGATTTGTTCTTTTTCTGTCCTAATACTTTTCAAACTGATTAAGAAAAAAAACACAGAAGCTCAAACGCACTCAGATCTACATTTGATTTGGGGAGCATTGTCACACAGTGCCCAGCTGCTTGACCTTTTGCTGTTTCTTTTGTCGTTTGTTTCAGGCGAGGAGACCTGTTATGATAAGCACAATGACCGGACGTACCGTGTTGGTGAAACCTATGAGAAACCCCAGGATGGGTTGATATGGGACTGCACCTGTATCGGCAGCGGTCGGGGCAAGATCAGCTGTAACACCGCAAGTGAGTTCCAGTTGAAGTTCAGGCCTGCGGCCCAAATGACAATGTCTGCACAATGCATGATTATATAATCTAGTTGGACTTTTTTTTTCTTGTTTGCACAACCCCATTGCTTTTTGTGTGGCATGAGATTTTGACAGACCTCTTCTGTCAAAATCTCATGCCACATGACCCTTTAAAAAAAAACAACAGCGAGTAACACAACAGTAGATAAAGAGTGTCTTTTGTAGCAAGACATTTATGATGTTTGGTCCCTCGCAGATCGTTGCCATGAGGGCAGGAGGTCTTATAGAATCGGAGAGACCTGGCAGAGGCCTCATGAAACGGCTGACTACATGCTAGAATGTGTGTGCCTTGGAAATGGCAAGGGAGAGTACACCTGCAAACCGGTCGGTGAGTACTCTTACCCCATAGATCAGAATCTGTAGGGCATTCGGGATCACCGCTGCAAAATGTGCTGGCTTCCGTCCAAACAAACAAGCAAGTGGGACAAGGTGTATCTGTGATGAGCACACAGCTATTGATTTCCACGTGGTTTGTTCCTCCTGGAAACAGCTGAACACTGCTACGACAACAGCGCCGCCACGTCATATGTGGTCGGGCAGACTTGGGAGAAACCGTACGGCTGGATGATGCTGGACTGCGCCTGCCTCGGAGAGGGCCACGGAAAGATCACCTGCACGTCCAAGAGTAAGTGCAGCGCCAGCGCTCGCCGGTCAGCACGCATTTCCCCCCCTCGGGCACGCCTCCTCACCACTGCTGCTCCCCCAACCAGACCGCTGCAATGACCAGGAGATGAAAAAGTCCTACCGGATCGGAGACTCCTGGAAGAAGACGGACAAAAATGGCCAGCCGGTGCAGTGCCTGTGCTTAGGAAATGGCCGTGGAGAGTGGAGGTGTGAGAGACATATCACAGGCCGAAGTAGGTTGTTCCAACGCCTTCGTCCGAACTTTGAACTTTTCCTTTTGGTGCTCAAAGTCCCTAATAAATGCCGTGGTCTGGTTTAAATCTATGCAGCTACGGGTGCTGTTGTGCTCAGCCCCACCCAGACCCAGGTAGTGCCTCAGCTCACCACCGAGGGAACCTGCCGCACCGATTCCGGCGCCCACTACTACGAAGGACAGCGCTGGATCAAGAACCAGGGCAGCAAGCAGATGAGGTGCACCTGTCTTGGCAATGGAGTCAGCTGTGAAGATTGGGGTGAGTGTTTGAAGGAGATTGCTCCCCGTCACTGATTTTCTTTGACTGACTTCACTTGTGTTTGGCAATCCGAGAAATTCACCAACAGTCGATAGGCTACTGTTTAGCATACCCCGGAAACAGCACTGTCAAACTCATCTCAATGTTGTTCATTCAGAGGCCAAGAACCAGGTGTATGGAGGGAATTCTAATGGCCAGCCCTGCGCGTTCCCTTTTGTCTTCAATGGGAAGATCTACTACTCTTGCACATCAGATGGACGCACTGACGGACAGCTCTGGTGCTCCACAACCTCCAACTATGAAACAGATGAGCAGTATTCCTTCTGCACTGAGAAGAACGGTGAGACTCGAGACTCAACGGAAACTTGGTTTCCACCAATAAGTTGATTCTGTCGACGCAACGATTAATCACTCATCATTGTCCGCCAACGGCAACACAACGTCCCCAACTCAGAGCTTTAAAGCGGCAACTTTGTGTCTTTCCAAACCCAGCTATTGTGGCAACGCGGGGTGGAAACTCCAATGGCGCCCTCTGCCACTTTCCCTTCCTGTACAGCGGCCTTAACTACACCGAATGCACCGCTGACGGGCGCCGTGACGGCATGAGGTGGTGCGGCACAACGCACAACTACGACGGAGAACAGCTCTTTGGTTTCTGCCCCATGGCTGGTGAGCGTGCTCCACACAAACTAAAGCTTTGTATGTCACGCCACCCCACGTTGATATTTGGCTGAATGCAGGTTACGATGTTTATATACCATAAAGGAATTACTTTGACACACTCTGATTGGTCCATTGGTACACACAGGCCTGTGAGCAGATCCGAGCTCCAAATAGTCTGTTAAAAATCGAGAGCTTTTGCCTTATCTCATCTTTTTCTCACAGATTATAGAGACTTTGTGCTTGCAAGGTTCAGTTGTGGACAATTGGATTGTGAATGACCGATGTTTGAAGTGGTCATGGGAGAGCGATGATGTGGGGAAAGCCTTTACATGCCATTTGTCTCACAAACACATACTTGAAAAGGATTTGCCAGAACGCTCAGCTTTGTGTGTAGATATTAATGAACCGACATACTTTAAGTGCGCAAACCAAATGACTCCTTGTTTTGTTTATTTTTACTTTTAATGATTAGCCCACGAAGAGATTTGCACCACCGGTGATGGAGTGATGTACCGTGTGGGGGAAAAGTGGGACAAACGCCACGAGCTGGGTCACATGATGGAGTGCACATGCCAAGGCAACGGCCGCGGCGAGTGGAGCTGCACCCCCCACTCACAGCTGCGAGGTGACATTCAAATCAAAGTTCCGGGGCGCTTTTCCCGCCGGCGTGCGGCGTCAGAGGGGAGCATAAAGGGGTGTGTCTTTTGTACGTTTCCAGATCAGTGCGTTGTTGATGGCTTGACTTACGAAGTGAACCAGCAGTTTTCTAAGCGCCACACAGAGGGACACATGATGAACTGCACCTGCTACGGCCAGGGCCGTGGACGCTGGCGGTGTGACCCTCTCGGTACGTTTGTGGCTCGTAGCTGGACCGTTGAGGACCTGTGCTCGCTCTTGGTGGGAATTGTTGGGCTTCTGTAAATAACCTCAGTTACGGTCAATACCGTACCAGTACCGTCTAGGCCTGCTATTCATGAAAATAGCTGTTAGATAACTGTTGTTGTGATTTGGTGGTATATGAATTACATTGAATAAATTTAGGTGTACAACCCCACACCCGCCCGTTGTTGTCAACTGTTTGATTGCTGTGTGTGTCTTTTGACAGATCAGTGCCAAGAACCAGAAAATAAGGAATTCTATCAGATCGGAGAGCAGTGGGACAAAGTTCTCAACGGCGTTTACTACCGCTGTTATTGCTATGGCAACGGGATTGGAGAAATGAGGTGTGAACCCCAGCAGGGCCATTCAGGTAATGCAATTTGTGTCCGTCCACCATTATTCCAAGGCAGCGGGGTCTTTCTACAGAAGTCCAGACAGTTTAGACGGTTTATCCACAGAGTGTTTTATAATATGTGCTGCTCTTGTTCAACTTTCCCACATTATTCCTCCACTTTTTCCTCTCATACAACCGGAAGCTCACAGCCAACACGGCTGGAAAGAAAGCTTTTGTTGTTTAGTTGGCTTTGGAAAGTCTGCTCTCCCCTTTCAGACTGTAGTTTTGTGAAGTTTTTCCTCCCCCGCCTGGTGCCGAGTGATGTTTGGCCTTCTAAGGGGAGAGATTAGATTTCTGGCCAAAAATGGCATAAATTGGAGGAAGTAACTTCCGGCCACTGTTTGGAGAAAGGTCGCAGCACATTTAGAGTTCTGGATCTTTAGAAAGGTTGCACGTTCTGCTTGTGTGGGGTTAGTGAGTGTGTTCACAAGCAAAAAAAGAACAGATTAACCGTGATGAATATGGTACTCTGGTGTTATTTCAAACACAACCTGGTTTAGCACCGTCTGATGGTTTGATTCGTTTCCAAAACGACAAATCCTTTGGATCTACCTCACCGAAAAGTGGCCAACTTTCACCCACAGTCTTTACAGCTCACACTATCATATTATATATGAAGCTATTTTCCCATAGTCGGCGGGTGCCTTGTTCTACACCGTTTTTCTTATAGCCTCTTTGACACTTTCTGCTTAAACTCCTCAGACAACCACAGACCTGTCCAGGTGATCATCACAGAGGCAGGAAAACAGCCCGACTCCCACCCCATTCAGTGGAACCCTTCTTCATCTGCCCACATCTCATACTATATCCTCAAATGGAGAATTGTGAGTCTTTTTTTTTTTTTAGAATACAACTAGATTATTGTCTTTTGGTTTTGGGTTGCTGGGTATATTGGAAAAAGCTGAGGAGGGCTCTAAATAAGCTTAAACAAACACGATTAGTAGAAAATATTATTTTGTTTTTCTCTTTTAGAAAAACACTCGTTCTCCCTGGAAGGAGGCCACCATACCTGCCCATGTCAACTCCTACACCATCAGCGGCCTTCGTCCAGGCATCACCTACGAGGGCCAGCTGATCAGCATCCTGCACTTTGGACGGCGGGAGGTCACTCGCTTTGATTTCACAACCGATCGCGGCTCCCGTGAGTTAACTAAAAGAGGCGTCACTCTCTGAATGCCTCTCTCTAATCTAAAGGATAATCTTTAAGAAAATATATTGTCTTTTTTTTTTCTGAAGTGGAGACATGGGAAGGAGAGACGACTGGCCCTCCTCAACTTGTGGACTCTTCTGAGTCTGTGACAGAAATCACCTCAAACAGCTTTGTCGTGTCCTGGTCATCAGCATCTGCATCCATCTCTGGCTTCAGGGTGGAGTATGAGCTCAGTGAGGAGGGGGCTCAGGCAAAGGTCCTGGGTAAGAATCTTTCATCATCACTAAAAGCTCCATATTTCTCTGGTTAGATGCTTTAAATAAAACGTATCTCCTAATCGATCCATTAGACATAATGCATTTGGATAAAACTCCAATCCTAGAGTGAACACTTTTATTCTGATGGGTTTGTAATGACATAGTTGAACCATCAACTTATTGAAATGATAAATGCAGCCTGTTGAGCAGTTTCTTTGATTCTCTTTAAGATGTTGCCCGCAACGCCAACTCTGTCACCATCGGTGATCTTCTGCCCGGACGCAGATATAACGTCAGTGTGTACGAGCTGCCAGAGAATGGACGGCCCAATCTCATCCTCACCACCTCACAGACCACAGGTGAAAACACACCTCCTCATTGGTGCAGTTAGACTCCAAGTTGGGCTGATCTTTGGAAACATTTCTCACAATTTGTATGATTTCTTATTCCCCGAATAGCCCCTGATGCACCTACTCAGCAATTTGTGGATGAAGTTCAAGAGTCCTCCATCCGAATCAGCTGGACAAGGCCTCAAGCCCCTATTACTGGTACGACTCGCACCTTCTCTGGGCTTGTATGTGTAGATTTTAGCTCTCAGGTCCACCATCAACGCCAACCGATGTCATGTATTGTTAACTCTGACTGTAAATGCAGGTTACCGTGTAGTGTACATGCCATCTGAGGAGGGCAGCAGCACTGAGCTGATCCTGCCTGGCTCGGAGACCTCCGTGACCCTGGTGGACCTTCATCCCGGCCTCCTCTACAACATCAGCGTCTACGCTGTGAAGGACAACCTGGAGAGTGAACCCATTTTTGTGCAGGCCAACACGGCGGGATCCCCGAAACAAGGTACGCATCTATGAATCAACACAATGTGTTTCGGATGACGAAGCTGCTTAGAATTCACAAGGCAGCACTTTTGGGGAAAAGTCTTTTTCCTTTGTGAAAACACACAGCTTTTCGGGTCCTTTGTTCTTCGTATACTATTCCTTGCGATCCGGCTGCTTGTTGAAGCTGAACAGGTTAACTTTAGGCTTCAGATGAAGATTCCTGAAAGGGTCTTGAAGATTGAGAGAGGTCTCCCGCTGCTGAGTTATGCCACAACTTGTCAAAACATGGATTTGTCAAAATATACTTAACAACCAATATATTTTCCATTATAAATATTTCGTGTTATCTTATCTCCATCTTGATATATTTTTTCCTGTGAATAATCTTGAAACTAAGATGGGCTGACATACAATTTTTCATGCAGCCAACAGGACTAAGAAAGCACAAACACCTAATCTATCCTCAAGATGTTTTATATAGTAGAATACCACTTTTGAGTGCCCTGCTTTTGCCTAGCATGAGAAAATGAATTGCTTGCAAAACCAAACCAGATGTTGTAGACTAATGGCTATGATTCTTTTTGGCATTTATCTTTTTCTGGTTTGCTCATGCCACGATCTGTAAAAAAAAAAAAGAAAAGAAAAAAAACAGCAAAGATACATGAGGCTAAGTATTTCACTGTACCGTTCTTTGAGGTTTGGATTTTTATAGGTTTTCCTGTACTGTGTGTCAGTTCTCTGCCATCCATTCACAAATCAGTAAATATTGTTTTCAAACAAGGATTATATCAATTTGAGTCACCCCAAATTCACTGAGTGTTTTAGATGCCGGACCATCATTTTAGATGCCAATTGTTTCAATGCTGTTGGTATGAGGAGGCATAGAGAGATTTTTACTCGAATGAAACGGTGAGATAAGTCAGTTATGTTTGAACACTGCCCAGATAAAGGTGCAGAGTCCTCTTTACAGTGAATCGATCGTCTTTCCCTCACAGAGGAGGTCCCAGCTCCCACGGACCTGCAGTTCTATGAGGTCTCAGACGTGAAGATCACCATCACCTGGACGGGTCCGCCCAGTGAGGTGACCGGCTATAGGGTGGCCTTCTCGCCGATGGACCGCGACGGCACCGAGCTCCGGCCCTTTCAGCTGCCCGTCTCGCCCAATGCGTACGCAGAGGTCAACCACCTGCAGCCCGGCACGCTCTACCGCTTCTACATCTACGCCATCAGCGGCGGCGTGGAGAGCAAGCCTCTGGTGGGAGAGAAGTCCACCAGTGAGTGACCACAGACAAGAGTCACCATAGTATGCGCAAAACCAGAGAGTTTTGAAACCCGTGTGGTGTTTTGGTCTTCCTCCTGTAGGGCCGGACGCGCCGACGGACATTCGTTTCAATGACATCACCCACGACAGCGCACTGGTCATCTGGGAGGCTCCCCGCGCCATCGTTTCCGGCTTCCGCCTCCTACTGAGCATCGAAGGCTCCAGCCCAGTCGAGAAGAGGATCCCCGGCCGGGTGACTCAGTACGCGCTGAAAAACCTACGGCCGGACACGCAGTACACGGCCACTCTGCACTCCGAGCTGGACAACGAGCTTAGCGAGGGCGCCACTTCGTATTTCACCACCGGTCAGTACAAAGAGAAACAAACTGTCAACAGAGACGCGAATAAATACTTGCAACCACCTTATATTCTTATAAAATTTTTTTTACTTGTGTCATCCTCCCAGCTCCCCGGATGGGTAACGCCCCTCCCTTCAGCACTGAGGTCACCGACACCTCCATCATCGTCACCTGGATTCCTCTCCGCCGGTTTAGCTACAAGGTAGAAATCACAGAATCGTGATGTTTCCAGCAAGCGTTGACAACAGAAAATATAATATGCTTTGATTGATTTTTTCTTTTATGCAGAAAAACATTGAATAGCCTATAGCTTCCCTGTATATTCTAAATGGGCTGGATTAATGCATGATATTACTCTTTTCACAATAGATGTTCACAGCCCACTTGGCCATCACGAAATTGAAAACATTTAAAAGCAGATTTTTTAGTATTTTTTTATACAAAAAATACAAAAAAATACAAAAATACAAATTTGTATTCTCATTTTTTCACTTTGTCTGCTCGTCCTCTCCAGCTATCTGTGCTCCCCAGCGAGGAAGGCGAGGCTCCCAGAGAGCAGACCTCGGACTCGGGGCGTATTTTCATCACCGATTTGATTCCTGGAACAGAGTACACCTACTCAGTCCAGCCTATTTTCAACGGCCGCAACCGTGGAAACCCCATCACTCGCAATGTTGTCACATGTGCGTATCCTAACGAACCACGCACCTCAGCAACGATAAATGAACCAAAACTCAGCATGATTTAACGTGATAGTCAGTCAGTTGAGAACTGTTGAGGCCATTTGTTGTAAGTTTGTAAAGTTTTTTCCTGCGTTTCTCCTGTTTAGCGCTGTCCCCTCCCACTGACCTCAGAGTGGTCTCCAACCCCAACACAGGAGATCTAACAGTCTACTGGGTTGCCTCCAAAACACCAGGTAAATATTGACTGTGCTCCCCACGCACAACGGGCCAATTGGATCGCACCGAGTCTAGACTTTGTCCCTTGATTGATATGTCTGATTTTTTTGTTCAAGGACGAATATCCCTTCCCGGCATTCTCTTTTTATCTCTCACCCTGATTCATAGATTGCAAACATGCCCTGATGTTATGAGCAGTCTCATCCAGATTTCTCATATCCCCTTCTCTCTCTCTCTCTCTCTCTCTGCAGGGATCACAGGGTACAGAGTGAAGAGCGCGCCAACCAACGGCCAGAGAGGCAACTCACTGGAAGAGTTTGTTCCAGTGGATCAGACCTCGTGCCAGCTCGAGAACCTCAACCTGGGTGTGGAGTACAACGTTAGTGTTTTCACCAACAAGGGCAACGTGGAAAGTGTGCCAGTGTCCACTATTGTCATTCCAGGTAGGAGCCAACTGGAAGGCATTCACACACAACTGCATCTCTAGAGAATACAAAGCGTCTGGGAGGGGAAACCTCCTCTCAGTAAAACCTTTGCTCCCACCCTCACAATGCTTGGGCGAGTTTCAAAAGAAACCGAAGCTGCATTAGCTGGCTTTGTACCGCTCAGGAGATTCAGCGATTTATAGCTATAATGTAGCTTTGTGGAGATGTTTTATCTGATAAGCTGAGAGAAAACACTGCTGTTTGGACATTTAGCAAACAGAGAACAATATAATCTGTTTCAAGTAGTCTGTCTGGGGTCGCTGGGTGGTGAAAGTTGAGAATTCAGCGTCCTCTGAGATCAGATGAATTATGTAACGGCTGATAAAAATCTCTGTTTTCCCATTAGACCAGGCCATGTGCAGAAGGTTTATCCAAACATCACAGGGCTTTTAAGATGTTCAAGAGGAAATATTTAACATAAACAAGAACAGTAAATCAGATCAGTCAAATTTTTTCAAATGTAGCTCCTGGATCTGGTCTTTGATGTTGCCACAATACAGCACCATTGCACCTTAAGCAGATATTCAATAAAGATCGTTCCTAATGCAGCTTTTTTACCATCATCACCCACTAACATGACCACCGGGTAACCTATCATATGCATAAAGATCCCCTTTCTTATTTGAGAAGCATGGCCAATGTTATTAATCACTGCCAGCAATCTGGTTTTTGTTTGGGAATGTTTGTCAATCCAGTTTTGTATAATCATCCTGCATGGCTGTCACTCTTTAGTTCTCTGAATGCTTAATCTGGAATGAAATAATGTCACCGAAGTAATTCATTTTTCATTGTCTGTCTAATTTCTGCATGCGCTTTGCGATTGACCTACACCCTTTCAGAAATCCCCGCGCCACGTCACATTGACTTTGTCGACATTACTGACACCACCATTGGCCTGCGCTGGACTCCTCTGAACTATACCACCATTACTGCTTACCGGATAACCGTAGTCACGTCAGGCGAGAGCTTGCCCATTTTCCAAGATTTGGTGGAAGCGTCCGCTGGTTATTACACCGTTCAGGGTTTGGAACCGGGCGTGGACTATGACATCAGTATCGCCACTGTCACAGAAGAGGGGGAGAGCGAGCCGACCACACACACAAAGCAAACACATGCTGGTGATTTTTTCTTTCACTCCATCTCAGGGGAGGAATCGGGATTTGAACTAAGATAACTCAGGATAGCAGTTGTTTTTTTAATCCTTTTTATATTGATGACAATCAGCTTATCACAGTGTCCTCCTGGTGACTTTGTATGTTATAAGCCGGGCTACTGGTAAACCTTTTTTTCTTTTTTTCCAATGGACCATATCTGCAGGAGGAGAAATGAGAGTTGCATTTCACTTGGCAACTCACTTTTGGTATTTCCTCACATCACAAGTCTTTGTGCACCACATTGCTAAGAAGATGAAATGGTGCACTTGATTCTGTCCCTTAGCAGGCTTCCTTAAGGTGACCAGCTCAAAGAAAGAGGGCTCTAGGGGGACACTAATATTTGAATTCTTAATTGGCATTTTCATATTAGGCAAATCCCCTCTTGTAATGAATAAACATACTGTGGAGTTTTTCCTGAATTTTTCCATATCTGACAAATCTTCATCATTCCATTGTGAGGTTGCTTTAGGGGTTGAGCTTTGTTTCCCCCCTGAACTGACCATGACCTGTGACGCCTCATTCTTCCAGCTGTGCCAGCTCCCACAAACCTGCAGTTTGGAGGGGTGGGGCCCGACCACATCAGGTTGACCTGGACCATCCCCAGCGTCGCCACCCCGAGCGACATCTCCCGATTCGTGATCCGCTACCACCCTGTGGCCACAGACGACGATGTCAAGGAGGTTAATGTTGGCGGAGCCACCAATACCTTCCTGCTGCAGAGTAAGAGGATACGAACGATACAGCGCGCCTCAAACACTTTAAAAGACAAAACGCCCTATTTACTACGCATTGTTTGATGGAGATCCATTCTGATTGCGTCTCTCACCTCTTCTAAAAAGACCTGCTGCCCAACACTGAGTACCGTGTCAGCGTTGTTTGCGTTTATGGTGAGCGTGAAAGTGAGCCTGCCACTGGAACTCAAAGGACAAGTGAGTATGAAACTGATTCTGGTCAATCTTTTAGTCGTTTCAAATATGAATGCTTTAATGTAAGCCTGTTTAAACATGTCCAGATATTCTTGGTATCCTGAATACTGGTTTTGTCAAAAAGTGATTTTTAAAAACTTTTCTGTTATCCTTGCTTGTGAATTCAATTTTAACTCTGTTTCCAAAACCTCCTCTTCTGCCAGCTCTGGACTCCCCAACTGGGTTGGACTTCTCTAATATCCAGACGAACTCCATCACTGTCCACTGGCTGTCTCCGACATCCACCATCACTGGCTATCGAATCCTCTACCAGAAGACCAGCGGCGGGCGGGCCAAAGAGGAGAGGCTTCCCCCGACCCGGACCTACTTCACTTTGACTGGGCTGACCCCAGAAACGGAGTACATTATATACGTGTATGCTGTCAGCAACAATCAGGAGAGTGAGCCTCTGACAGGCACACAGGCCACCGGTAAGTTTCTACACCTTTTTTTTTTTTGCCCGTTTTTCTACTGTGATGTAGAAATCTTTCATAAACCTCTTGTGGTCTTTTTCAGTCTCTGATGCACCCACTGACCTGGAGGTTACGTCATCCACCTCGACCAGCATCTCTATTCGCTGGGACGCCCCGTCTGTCTCTGTGAAGAACTACAGGATCACCTATGGGGGCACAGGTCTGTTCTCCGTGATGTAGTTCACAGTTTCCCCTCAACTTAAGGAATATTCATCATTTCGTTTGACAAACGGCCCCTGCTTTACCGTTTTAGGAGGTGAATCTCCGAAAGAGATTTCAATCGCAGGAACGCAGACCCACGCCACCATCACGGGGCTGGAGCCTGGCACCGACTACACCATCACAGTCTACGCCGTTACAGCCCGAGGAGACAGCCCTGCCTCCAACACACCCGTCTACATAACTCACAGGACAGGTATCTCGACGCAAACACAAAAAAAGAAACACAAGAGACATCTGTGAATTTATTCCGATCAAAGCAGTTGTTTTCAATCCTACTTTTTCTTTAGATACCGAGGCCCCCCCCGATATGAGGGTCACTGATGTGAGCGACAATGCCATCACAGTGCGCTGGTCTCCGGCTCAGGGGCCAGTTAGAGGCTACAGGATCACAAGTGTCCCCAAGAATGGTTTGGGACCCTCCTACTCCGAAGTGGTGGCCCCCGGTGAGTAAAAGTCCACAACCGGGACTCTCATCGGCCATTTTGATTGTTTAAAGGCACATCCTTCCTTGTCTGTATCATCCTTTTAATGTGCTCCTTTCCTCCTTCATTTCCCCAGATCAGAGAGAGATGACGTTCACAGGCCTTATGCCCACTGTTGAGTACGTCGTGAGCGTCTATGCCCTGGGTAGCGATGGACAGCCCTCTTCCCCTGTGGTGGAGAACGCTATCACTGGTGAGTTTGACTCAGATCTGTGAAAACTGATGCAAAAAAGTTCAGTCTTTCGGCACAAGATTAGGATTTTTCCTGCAAATATTTGACGGATGGACAAAACCAAAACAACCATCTAATCAAATTACAATTGAAGCCATAAAACACAGTGAGAAACAATGTCATGTGAATACAACTTTAAAGACAGTTTTTAGGGGTTCAGTCATATTTCAGGCAGTCCTAACTTGATAGGCAAATACAATATAAAGTTTAAACACTACAAATCTGAAGTGGCAGCCTAATTTGAGCTGAAATCAACACTTTCCCCGTCTCCCTTCCCACAGCCATGGATCGTCCCAAAGAGCTCCGCTTCTCAGACATTGATTCCACCTCCATGCGCATCACCTGGGACAGCCCGGACGGCACCGTGACGTCATATCGCGTCCTTTACTCAAGCCCAGAGGAGGGCGAGAGAGAGCTGCGTCCAGCCCCCCGGGGTGACCAGGACAGCGCGGTGCTGACAAACCTTCGTCCCGGGACGGAGTACACAATTAAAGTCATCGCCCTGCATGGCCGAACACCCAGCCCGCCTTTGGTGGGAGCGCAAGCCACAGGTAGAAACACGAAGAGGGGAAAAGAAGGACGCCTTCGTTCTTTTGCTTTACTACGGCTGCTGTAATGTTTTTGCCTCCCCTGTCTCAGTTATCCCTGCACCAACCGACATGGTGGTCTCAGACGTGGGCCCCTCGGTCTTCACCGTGTCATGGCGAGCTCCGTACGCACGCTTGACGGGATACCGCGTGGTCGTCACCCCCAGCAACATCAATAGCCCCAGCAAGGAAATGAGCGTTGCTCCAGACACCACCCGTGTTGTTGTACCGGGGCTGATGGTAAAAAAAAAGGATCCTCGCTCTTATTGGAATTTTTAGATGACTCGGTTATGAGTGTGTGCTTAAATATTGTCTTTTTTTCCTGTATATCAGGCAGCCACTTCGTATCAGATTCAGGTGTATGCTCTGAAGAACTCGGTCACAAGCCGACCTCTGGAGGGAGAAACCACCACACTGGAGGGTAACTGTCCGCTGCATAAATTAACTTATTCATTTTGTATCTCCTCCTCCTTACTGATCGGTTTCCCCTCGGCTCAATGCAGATGTGAGCTCTCCTCGCCGTGTACAGACCTACGATGTAAAAGACACCTCTCTCAAGTTGGCCTGGCGCTCTAAGGGGAAAACCATCACGGGTTTCCTGATTGAAGCCACCCCAAGCGGCGGCTCACATCCCACCATCAGCAAGACGGTCCCAGGAGATACTTACAGCTACACCCTCACAGGTGGGGCACGCCTTTCTTCACACTCAGAAAATGTCAATTTTTGGTTTAATCGGCCCTTCTCAAGACAGCGTTTGTGTGCATGTGCTTGTTTTTTAGGTCTACAGCCAGGCACCTCGTACACCATCAACATGTACACTCTGAATGGCAACACAAGGAGCCCTCCAGTTACACTCATTATTGAAACAGGTACAACACTAAGCTGCGCACAACCCTCTGAAGCCCAATGACGTGCAAATGTTGGACTAGTTCAGAAATATTGATTTCGTCATATTTCCTTGCTATTTATTACATGCAGATTAAAATTGGCTTTATATAACAATTAACAATGAGTTTTAAAAAAAAGAAACACTCTGATTCAAATCTTTTTCTTCTAAAAATGCAGGTTTTAATACATTATAGTGATTTTTATATGTTTTATCTTTAGTGTATTTTTTTCCTTTTAATTCGGGTGGTTCTTATACCTCTTGACCTGAGTACAGATAGCTGTAATTGTGGGAGTTGGTGCAAATTTTTAAAAAGGGGGAAATGGTCCAGCAAATAAGAAAGCTTTGACAACAGCTGGGTGCATCGAGGAAAGAGGTCTTGAATCAAATGTGCGTTGGACTCACGGCGTCCACACAGATGCGACACGTAAGCTAACTCTCTGTTTTTTCTCTCTAGCTCGACCAGTGATCCACGCTCCCACCAACCTCCAGTACACGTCAGTGACCCCCAACTCCATCTCCTTCACATGGCAGCCACCTTCCACACAAGTCACAGGCTACTACGTCACATATGAGGAGTCGGGAAGGCCGCCGCGGGACCTCATCCCGCAACCCCACGCAGGCCAAACCTATGCCACCATAACTGGTACGGCAGGCAGTCTCTTTAGCTGCAAACTGAAATTTAAAGAATGGTTCGTTCTCGACGTAGGGCGAGATTTAAGAACCTTAAACAGAAAGCTCCCGGGCCTCTTAACCACTGAAACAAACTGTGTGAACATTCCTTCTCTGCCCAGGTCTGAGACCAGACACAGTGTATATGATCAAGATCATTGCAATCCAAAATACACAGAGAAGCACACCCCTGGTGGGCAGGATAAGGACTCGTGAGTATTCTGAGTATTTGACTTTTTACATGGGAATGTGATCAGTTTGGGTTGAAAAAGGTCCAACGCTGAGGGGAAAAATCAGTGAGCAAAAATTGAAGGTTTGCAAGGCTGCTTTTATCTGCTCAGCCTGCTGTTTTGCAATAAGACGCCCCATATGAAATGCAAGGTGTGTGGCTCTTAAAACCATGACTTTTTAAAACTTTTTGAATGTCTTCAGATGTGCCATTCAAAATAGCCGTGTGTCTATGGGATTTACACAATCACACGCATCGCTACGTGTTACTGCCTATGTGTTGCCTTTTGTTGGCTGAGACAGCTGAAAGCGGCTCTGCCTTACCCTGCCTGAGTCTAACCCGCTCGCTTCCCTAACCCGCTCTCTCCCGCCCAGAGCCAGACTCCTTGCTTCCCCAGCCGCTGCCACAGCCCAACCAGCCCGGGGCTACTGACCGGCTCGATGTGCCTGAAACGTTCGACAACAGAGTCCAGGTGGTGGGCCCCAATAACCAGGATAGGACTGTTGATCAGAGCCAGCATGTGGAGTACACGGAGTTCAACAGCGGAGATGGAGGCAGACACAATGTGAACAACCCACAGTCTCCCTTAGAGCAAGCTCGTGAGCCCCTGGTCTTTGTCCCCCTCCCCGATGCAGAGGGGCATAGAAAACCTATTGTGAGGCTCACTGTTCCCATCGGATCTGCGTTTGAAAACGACTCCAGGGGGCCGCAGGAGGCCCAGACTCGGACCAGCATCTCCTGGAAGCCTTACAGGCAGAGCAGCGCCTACCTGTTGTCGTGTTATCCTCTCACAGACTTGGATGAAAAGATGTTCCAGGTAGGGAGGCGAAAGCAGCTGTTTCTCAGATCAGCCCTCTTCCTGAAACCTGCAGCAGATATGTCGTTTCGAGCGGAAAAATCATTCCTCTCGTTACGGTTTTAGGTCCGCCTGCCGGGCACGGCCACCACTGCCACCCTGATCGGACTCACCCCCGGAGCAAACTATAATGTTATTGTGGAGGCGCTTTTGGGGGCTCTTAAACACAAGATTCTGGAGCAAGTCGTCACAGCCGCGAACACAAGTAAGCATCTATCAGAAAACTGACTTTATGTTTTTTTTTTTTTCTTTGTTTCATAATTTGGTAAAGCCATGACTCTTATAGAACGCCGTGCATTCAAGGAAATAACAGAAACTCTCAGCATTCCTTCCCTTTCTTTTACTTCTGTTTGTACAGCCGAAGCATTTTTCATCTCATTTACATGAATTCTACTAGTTGAAAAAGAAAAGTCTTACTTTAGCTGTGGCTATAGATAAGGAACATGTTGTCTCTCATTGGCAACATTTTGTAGTTTGGATTCTACAATCCACAAGTTAAAGGGTCCATATTCAGAAAAAATAAACACCACAAATCCATCGTTGTGGTGTGAATATGCTCCCTCTCACACTTTCTCCTAATCCATCTCCTCTCAGTCCCCAATGGAGTCCCTTCCTCTAAGGACGCCTGTTACGACACCTTCACCGCCACCTACCACGACGTCGGTGCCGAGTGGGAGCGGATGTCAGAGACGGGCTTCAAGCTGTGGTGCACGTGCTTGGGCCTGGGCAGCGGCCACTTCAGATGCGACTCATCGAGTGAGTTCTCTTCCTGTTAGCCAGCGGTGCATACGCGCAGTCGGGATTTAAAAGCCCCTCCCGAACCTGATTTTGCTTGCGTTTTGTCCGCCGTCAGAGTGGTGCCACGACAACGGCGTCAACTATCGGATTGGAGACCAGTGGGACCGTCAGGGGAACAACGGCCACTTGATGACCTGCACTTGTATGGGAAACGGCAAAGGAGAGTTTAAGTGCGAACCACGTAAGTCGATAGTCATAAAGGTTGTTGTGCGTCTGTTGAAGTTCGCGAAGTTCACGCAGTTTAATTGTGATGTGTACGTCGCACAGATGAATCCTTTTGCTATGACGGCACCAAGACCTACCGGAAGGGCAGCCAGTGGCAGAAGGAGAACATGGGGTCCATCTGCACCTGCACGTGCTTTGGAGGACAACAGGTAGGACACCACCGGCCTCCCACGATTCACAGATACAGCTGTAGGGGCGATTGGAGAAGCAAAGTATGGTTAAATGAATCCGCCCGTTTGTTTTGTCTCATCAGGGCTGGCAGTGTGAAAACTGTCGCAGACCAGGAGCAGATATGGATATCAGTCTGGTGCAGCCGGTCCGATACGGTGACAAAGTGCTGCGCAAGGTGAGTGGAAAACTGCTAATGTCCTATGTTCAATCTATTATTTTAGAGCATCTACTAACATCTCAACTTCTGAATGTCACCACCGCTCTCCCTCCAGAACGTCCACTGCCCCATCGAGTGCCTCCGACCCGAGTTGCTGGCAGACGTACACGTTCCTCAGAACTAGCGGAGACAGCGGACGGGTCACCTGACACCTGCCTCGCCCCGGCTTCGTCCGGTTGTCTCACCCCTGTAGAAGCCACGCCGTTCGTGTGACTGACACCGCCGCATCACTTTCCTGTCCCGTTCCATGTTACACTGCCCTGCTGTCTGCTGAGTCCCGCCCACGTCCCGGCGCCAGTCTTCTCACTGTCGGCTCCAAATCCAACCCCTTCGTCCACGTTCTTCATGTGAGCCTGAGTCACGGGCACTAAGGACTCGTCACATTCAAATTTACTGTATGCAATTGTCAAACTCGCTTTTTGTCCGCTGTTCAATTTTTTAAAAACAATTCCTAAAGATGACCAGAAAGCACTGTTAAGAATGTCTCCGTAGTTATTAACCATTTTGTTTCAATTGTCCTTGAAAATGGGCTTTTCCTTTCTGTTGCTCCTCTGTTGGCAGAGGAGTCGCACTGTGTGTGACTGACTTGCTGATTTGTAGTGCCTCTTACTAATTTATCCCTTTAATCTCATTTTATGAATGTGTGAACAAGGTTGTGAGAATGTGAACTATTCTATTTTTGTATTGTTGTCAGTGCCAAAGTAATTTCTACCTTTGACGTAAAAAGTGCCTTATTTTAATAAAGCTGGACACATCCTGAAATGCAGTGTTTCATTTGGTTTTATGGTTGTATGCACGTGGTCTGCAAGCTTTGTTCTCGTTTTGCTTTTTGTTCTTTAAAAAAAACATTTCAAGGCAAAGCCTCATTTGTTCAAACCATTGCCATTTTGGGGGATTTAAAAAGTCTTTATTAAAGACATAATTCAATTTTCTATATATATATCTTGAAAAGAAGTCACGCGATTACAATATTTTATGTTTAAGGGGAGAAATGTGCAAATCATTTGAGCAATTGAAATGAATCACTAGTATTTTATGTCTTTACAAACCATTTCTCATTAAAGTCTCACAAAGTTGCAGAAATAGTCTGTTTCAAGATATAATAAGACAAATAATCAGCTTTACCCGTCTCTTTTTCCATTCAACCACCAGAGGGTGCAAAAACACCAACAAATCTGGTTAGTGGGTACAAGCTGTGGAAATTATTTCTAATTGTTGGTTTAACACAAAGCTTAATGGTACAGTACCGTGTAAAATCCCAAGGTTCCCTTATCTTCATTTACTTGACATACAAGTCATGAAATATTTTCTCCCAACTAAGAAAAAAGTTCTGAGTTCATATTTTTTGTTGTAGGAACAGGCTGCTCGGGATAAAAAAAAAAAAGGAAACTAAAAGAAATCACTAAATATCATGCATTTGGCAAGTTTAGTCAGCATTTACACATTGTGTAAGTTTTTAATCTCTCATATCAGTGTTTAGACCAACGGAAAAAGAGTTTGGGGAAATATGTATATGAAGGTTTGCCAAGGATAAATTCCTCCATTAACTGTCGAAGTGATGTCACCTAACATCAGAGAAAGCCGAAAAAGAAAAAACTCAGCGTCAGCAGTAGTTTATTTCACCTCAGTACAACACAGATGAGGAACAGACGGTGAACGGTTTCCATCAGTAACGTTAGGCCCTCCGTAGGCTTTGTAGTGTTCAGTGGTGGAAGAGTCGCAGGTTGGTGTGGACCAGAGCGATGCCCAGCTCGTTACAGGCGTTGATCACGACCTGGTCAGCGGCGGACCCGGCCGGAGCCGCGATGTACTCCACACCACTCTGCACCCAGAGAGCACACGCAAAGAAGGCCGGTTAGAGGAGCTGGTCAAAGTTCTCGTAACGTAGTAGAGGACTCTGTGGGACGCTTACCCGTTTGGCCCGATCGATGTTATCCCTGAAGGGGAAGAAGGCATCGGAGCTGACGGCCACAGCCCGCAGGGAGCTGATCCAGTTCTTCTTCTCGGTATCCGACAGAGGCTCCGGCACCTCCTCATACATCGACTTCCACACGGCCAAGTCTGGACCCTGCAGAGCAGAAATTCGATAGTACGGCAGTTTGCCATTATTCATTTAACAAATCAAATACAAAACAGTGAATGTATTTAGGGGAAAAATAATCTGAGTCGCCGGCTCACTTTCGGGGAACCGCTCGATTATCGGAGTATTTTTTTTTTTTTTAAAGAGAGAAGTTTTCAGTTTGTGGAAACTATCAAATCAACTTTGTCTTCGATGCTCGGAAAAGGAAATCGGTGCTAAAAAGTTCTGCATGTGTTCTTAAAACTGTGCGTCTGAAAAAAATAAAAATAAATAAAAGTTTGAAGACTGAATGAAAAAAGAACTATGCATTTCATCTCGAAATGTTATGCCACTTATTACGTTAAAAATCCAATACATAAATATAAATTAATTATAAATCTGCTAATTTTGTATGCAAGATTTTATATTTTGAGAATGATAAGTTATTACATCTATAATTACATTATGTAACATTAAAAAAAGATGCATTAAATATAACAATAAAGTTTTCTTTTGAGAAAATAAATTAAAAAAAAACTGTGCGTCTGCTGTCCTACCTCTCCAACGGTGTCGCTCACGTACTGGTCGATGGCGTTGGCCATCTCGGCCCGCTTCACACCGCCCTGAAACTTCATGCCCAGGACGCGGGGGTGGTGCCTCAGCCACCAGTTGTCAGCCTTGTCCCCGGCCAGACGCGTGCAGTGGATGCGGGACTGCTGGCCTGCGCCGATGCCGATGACCTGCGCGGGCGGCACAGAGGGGGGGGTTGGCAGAGGGCTGCGAGGGCCCGGGGAACGCCGCCCGCCTCCTCCTCCTCCGAGCCGCCCGCCCTCACCTGCCCGTCTTTGGCGTAACACACAGAGTTGGACTGCGTGTACTTGACGGCGATGGTGGCCACCGTGAGATCCCGCACGGCCTCCTCCGGCAGCTGGCGGGAACAAAGCGGGCCGTTAGCAATTCTTAAACCCACCGAGTTTTGAACCGAAGCTTTCTGCCACGGAGCTGGCGTGAGGCACAGACTTACCGAGCCCTTGGAAACAACGTTGCTGAAGAAGGCCTTATCGATGAGCGCGTCGTTCCTCTTCTGTTTGAGATGGAGTCCAAACAGCACTCTCAGCTCGGTCTGGTCGGGCTCGTAGTCTGGATCCATCTGGGCAGAGGAGTCGGATTCAAAACCTTCTTAAGGAAGTCCTCCCGACAAAACGGTCAGACATACGTTTCACACAGAGTTTGAAACGTATGCCTGAAAGCCATGGACAAAAAGATTTGTGCATGACCTTTAACCCAAGAAAAAGACTTATAATGGGCTGTGTGTCGGCACCTGGAGCACACAGTAGTTCCCGTTTTTCTTCTTGGAGAGGATTTTAAGCGCCTCCTCCTCATAACCGGGAGCAATAATGCCATCCGAGACCTGAGGAGAAAAAACAAAACAAAAACAAACACCGTTAGGAGGCACAGGGGTTCCATCTAATAGGTCCTACTCGCTCTCTTCCATTTCCTCCCTCCCTCACCTCTCTGGATATTATCTTGGCGGTGGGAACGTCGCACACGTCCGACACGGCGATAAAATCTCCAAAAGAAGACATTCTGTCCGAACCTGGAAGTTTGGACAGATTTAAAAGCATTCCAACCGAGAAGCCGAAACGGCGTGCGTGAGGCCGCGGTGTGCGTCTGACCTCGGGCCCTGGCGTAGGCCGTGGCCAGTGGGGTGAGGTCCTTCAGCAGGTCGTGCACCATGCACACTTTGGCCTCCTCCTCGGACAGGGGAACTCCCACAGCAGCTCCTGCGGAGGAAGAGCGGAGAGCGGATCCGGATTTTAAAGGCCGATCTCAGCCGCGGCGCTCTCCGAAGGCGGCGGCGTCTTACCGGCGGGGCTGACGTGCTTGAAGGAGGCGGCGGCGGCCAGGCCCAGGGCGCGCCGCAGCTCTCGGACCAGCTGCCACGCATTCAGAGCATCGCACAGGTTGATGAAACCAGGGGAGCCGTTCACCACTGAGGGGCGACAATTAATGGGGAATATTATTTATTAAAAATAAAAAAAGATTTTAATAGTCAGTTTAAGCACGAATATTATAAGAATTGTATCACCACAACTGCTGTTTTGTAACAAATGTCAGAAAAAAAAGGACCTTTACAAACATTTTAAAGAAATACAGAATACGATTATTACAACTGTTTTCAAAACAGAACTATTCAATGACAAATATGAGCTAATCTTCAGTTTGACGGCTGCCAAATGAAGCCCAGTCGTTAGCTTTTCACCACTATGTAGTATCCCGTCTTCTTCTAAGAGGAGCTTGCAAACATTTGCCTTTAGGTCTTTAGGCAAAGACCGCCGATCCATTTTTGTCCTACAAAAAGGATTGCGGCCCCTTACCGATCAGAGATGTCTGCCGTATTTAAGCTTTTATGACACACCTTAATGTACAATGTCCACATCCTGACTCTCCTAAAGGCCCATCATTTTGTAAATCAAGCAAGACAATGCTTTTTCTGAAATGTTAGGAATTCTGTCTGGATGACAGCATTTATCACTCCAATGTCTTAATGCATCCAACAAAAGAGCTTTCCAAGATGACAATGCCTGAGGATTTTCGTATTATTTCGCAAGTCTACCTCAGATAGAGACTCTGCCCTTTCAGAGGTGCTTCCATGAACTGGCGACTTTGTCCCGCCCTCCAGATTGCGATGGGTTTTGTGTCATACGGATGCGCGGGGCCTTCCTCGTGTGGCGTGCGCTCACCTCTGAGGGGGAGCTCCGAGCGCAGCGTGTAGATCTGGGCCGGGGCCTGGTGGGGGTTCATGCCGTAGCGGAGGGGCAGCTGGGACACGCCGCGGCCGTACTGCCCCCGGAAGTAGTCGGCGATGGCCTCGTCGTACTGGGCCGTGTGGGTGAAGGCCTGAGGAGGGAGAGAGGCAGCAGCAGACGGCTCAGACCCGACTGTCCATTCCAACCCGGCCGGGAAACGCGCGCTTTGGAAAAAAAGACGAAAATCTTGTCCGAGCACGTCTTCACTTTGTCGGGCCGGAGCCGGTTTTACCACCTTCACTCTTAGTCAGCATGGCTCTTTCAGACATTTAAAATTGAAATTCAACCGGGAGAGAGATCCGCTCGGGGGGGCTTGGTCTCTGTGTGCTCTGGTTGTGTTGTTGCGTTTGTGTAGAGGTGAGGCAAAGTCCAAAGCAGATCTTTTATCACCAATGTTGAAAGGGGTCGAAACCTCGTCGGGCCCAGTGTACTCTCACCTCACCGTCCAAACTTTGCCGCTTGGACGGGGGTTAAAACAATTTGTTTATCGGTCAGAAAGCATCTATTGGTCAGGAAGATTCATCGGTGAATTCACATCATGCGCTTTGGAATCAGAACTGGGTCAGGAAAAGAAAAAGGAGAGTCTCACTTTGAGAGCCAGAGTCCTGCGTGTTTCCAGGGTCGTGTCTTTGTCCTCCGAATTCTCCATCTCCTTGGCAACCAGTGAATAGTCAGCTGGATCGCACACAATGGTGACCCGGGCATGGTTCTTGGCAGCCGCTCTCAGCAGAGTCACACCACCTCAGGACAGAGGGAAAAGGCTGGTTTTTAACAAACAATCGCGAAACTTTCAATTTTAAAGTTCCAAGGAGCGGATTCTGTCCTGATGTTCGGAGCTTACCGATGTCTATCTGCTCCACAGCGTCCTCCACGGCGACGCCCGGGACCGAGACTGTCTTTACGAAAGGATAGAGGTTGCACACCACCAGCCTTTAAAAAAAAAAAAAAAAGAGTGAACAAAAGGAACCAAACTCATTTTTTGGACACAGGAGCTTTTCATCTGAGGGTGGACACAATCTGTGGAAGAGCATGCATGAAAACTCACTTCAAACCGTTCAATTTGCCTTTCTGTGGGAAAGAATTTCAGTAAATGACAAAAACGTGGGAGTCAGGTGGATTCGATTTCTGGGGTAATTGGGTTATGGAACCACACTTCCTCGGTGGAGGCACCGTGCTTTAGAGAAAAACTCAGCTTTGACTGTTCAGACTGCCCGTGTGAACCGTAAACTAATAAACGCTCCGATTCTAAAGGAAAATGAGCAGAAACGCAGAATTCTTCATTTGAATGTCCCGACAGTCTGAGCCTCTAATGTAATGCATTTTCCTGATGCTGCCAGTGTTAAAAAAAAACAAAACAAACAAAAACTACAAACAACAGCAAATAAACACCATAATCGGTGTGAACTGACCCCTTCTTTCAGACAGCATTGATTTTTCCATCAAAAGCTTGTCTAAAGGGGATCTATTCTGGTCAGCTGCCTTGGTTTGATTTATACCAGATGACAGACACGTGATTAAATCACTTTTCTGTTTTTGTCATAATCAAAGAGTCACGAGGTGAGCTGCAGTTTTCTTATTATCCTGCATCCAAATCAACTGCACGTGCATTCTGCCAGCGCCAAAGACCACGTGAGCCAAGCCACAGGTGGGCTGAGCTGTGAGGGGATTTATTTTCATTCTTAACAAAAAATGAAAGAAGAAGAAATAAATCTGTGGTGATGTCTTTGCCTCTGGCCTCCGTCTCACCTGACCAGACTGTAGCCCAGCTTCTCCATGTCCGCGGCGTCCGAGGGGCTCTTCCTGGCCAGGATGCCCGCGTGGACAGCCGGGTGGAGAGTCTTCACTCTGCCTCCCAGCATCTCTGGGTGTCCGGTCAGCTCGGACACATCTCTGGCGTGGACAAAGTCACAGGCGGGTTCAGATAAGGTCACGCATCACACACATACACACACAAACAAACAGACAGACACACACACAAACAGACAGACACGACCGGGAGCACTTGCCTGACCACCAGCCCAGCCTCGCGCAGGGCTTTGGCGGTGCCCCCGGAGGCCACCAGAGACAGTCCCGCGTGCACCAGCCGTTTAGCGAAGTCCACCAGTCCGGTTTTATCGGACACGCTCAAAAGCGCTGCGTGGGCAGACGGAGGAGACACTTTTCACTCACTTTCCACGCACGGAGGAGGAGAGCAAACGTGCGTTTAAGCCACCCGCCTCTGCTGACGTTAGCCACTCGGCTAACGTCGTGCATGCGGCAGAGGAAAACTTTACAACAACTACAACAGCTCGAAAACAAAAAACAAACAAGGAAAAAAGGGCAGGGAATGTCTCACCGAGCTCTGAGGAGGCCATGTTCCTGGGAGAGGAGTGGGGTCCGGATGGATAGCTGCACGGCAGAGGCAGAATGTCAGGCAGACTGACACCAACCTGCAGACTTTTCAGGGAAGCATCACGCGCTGGGAACCCAAAAGACCCGCCCCGCCAAAATTGGCGGCACGCCCCCGACACCAAACGCACCCACGAGGGCCACGTGGCGCAGAGAAAACGCATTCCTAAGATTTTGAATCAATTAAGCCTGGGATCGACATTTAAGTTTATTTAAAGGATCATGGAGGAGCTTCTCTCTAAAACTAAACTTATATAAAACTACATTTTACAAAGTATATTACCTTTTTACAATAATTTATACAGATCATTTTTATTATTATTTTTTCATCACTATATAAAAGTATTTCACATTAAAATAAAACAGCTAGAGGTTCGTTATTATATCATGGATGCTTGATAAATCTAAAATTCAGTTTTTATTTTATGACTGGGACCATACACTCTTCTACAACCTGCAATTTGTTTTCCTTAAACAAACAATACAGTTTTTTTTTTAGGAAGCGTCCTTAAAACATTAAGGATGATTACATTAATAGATAAATATCCTCTTTAAGAAGAGCTCAAGAAGTTGACCAAATATCCGTATTTCACTCATCCAAGCTGCTGCAGTCAGGTGGTGTATTTTTCTATTCTACCACTAGAGGGCAGACATGAGCTTTGCTCGCACAAATGTGAACATCTCAATATTTTTTAAGGATTCCTTTAAGAATTATTTTACTCATACACTTTTACCTCTAATATAACTCAGCAAAGACACAAGTACAGATGTACGACAAAAATATATCATGCCAGAGAAGCAAAATGTGAGTTTAATTATTTTGTTGTATAGTATAGAATAAACACACAACTCAATTCTGTTAGTAACAGGCTTCATGCTTTCCTCAGGAATAGTTTCCCTGGAATCCTGAAGGTCTTTAAAAGCTCATCTAAGAACACCGGATGCCTTTTGAAAATAATACCACACTTCTTCATAAAATGAGGATTTCTCTCTTCATGACACCTGTTTCCGTTCAAGGCTCCGTAGGAATCAGTTTTTATTCAATTAAGAAAAAACGACAACATGTCATTCAAACTGCGAGCTTTGATAATATTTATTGATGTAACTAAATAAAGTGTAACAAAACAAATGACAATTGAAAACAAATTATTTTCTGAATGTGTGCCAACGACACCAGCTCATCCCTTGAGTTACTCTAGTAGGGAAAAAACCCCCATTATGGCACAAAAACAAAACTGAAAATGAGAAAAACCAAGTCAGCTAATGTCCAAAGGTAGAAGCCCTGGAGACATATGGCACAAAAAGACCATCAAATAATAAAAAGTTCTGGCTGCTACACATAAAAAACATAAATAAACGAGGATGACTACAGATAGTGTGAAGTACATGACTGTCAGGGTAAATTTGTGCCCGAATTAGTCATTAAAGATTGCTTAGAAATATACACAAACCAAAATAAATAGGAAATGTTAGTATTGCTTAGGTCAATGAACACTTCTTGCATTATTTTGCTGGTTTTGTTCTTCCAATATAGTCAGATTTCACTTGTGAAACGTCAGTTTTTATGCACGCCGAACGATAAGACACACTGCAACAGAACTCTACAGTGTTTGTGTTTTCCTTTGCTGATGCAGGTCAGATCTTTCTGTGGCTCTGGGTGGACTGAAGGTTATTCTGACCCCAGGAGGGGACACTGTTCGCACCGTAGCTGGTGCAGCGCCTGTAATACGAATTTCCTGCAACAATAAATGGCTCTCATGAATACATTCCCCCTCAACACGCCTTTTTCAATAAACTTTACTGGCAAAAATGCTGCCTTTTCCCTGCTTTAGAACGGCATTTTAAGTCAGACAGATGTGAATTTATTGGGCCCCCACCGCTCACCGCCATACTTGTCCATTAGTTAAGTGACAGGACAGGGCCCTGGGAAAGCTGCAGCTATATGTGTGATTACGTTAAAAGATCACACAATCTGTTCATATTTACGTAATGAGCCCGACATTTTGCTGATTGATTAAACTACAGGGTGTAAATATTTTAAGGGGGTGCCTGATTTATCATCCAACAAAGCAAAAAGAGGCCAATTTATTTGTGTAACTATGAAAATGAAGGTTTCTGGTAACCACTCTGACATCTCAGGGGTGACTTGAGTGATTCAATGGACAGTGAAACGTTTTTATGGAAAGACATAGGCTCACTATGCATTATTGGTTAAAAAATGAAAGCGGCAGAAGGCCGTCAGCACTTTTGTCAGGCGGCTGCAGAGGAAAACTGACAGCGTTATCAGCAGCGGCTGTAATTTACGCCGGGAATTTTTAATCAACACGACTGCCGTATTCAGATTAAATTGGAGGAGAAACGGAATCAATGACCTTCATATATTGCTCCGCTGCTTTATCAATTAGCTGTGATTTTTGTTCCGTGTCAAAGGGGCCATTTGTCACCTGGCTGGCAGGTCACACAACCAAACGAGCCTCTATTGATTCAAATATTTTTTCATCAGCCAAATTAAAAACCTGTCGTTTGATAGAGGTTCAGTCATGTCGCTGGTATAGTTTGATTAAGGTCTAAAATCTTCAATGGAAACTCTCTGAAAATGTGGCTTTAGGAGTTCATTAGTCAATGCTCCTACAGGCAAGTTCCACACATGTTTTAGTGAAGTTCTGCTGCTGTTATAAAGATCACTACTTTAAAACCTAACTATGACTGTGACTACTAACTATTTTATACTTTTTTTTTCCTATTTTCTTCTTTCTTCCCCATGTACTTTAGAGTTTAAAACCCTCTCAAGTGTCAACTAAATTCCACTTACCAAAGTCAAGTTTTGGCTGCATAAGAAGAGAAGCTTTTGCACAGTAAATCTTTTTCTTTATTTTGGTTTGGTCATTGAATCCAACAGCTGTTAACCGAGAAACAAAAATCACACAAATCTGTTACCACAGCAAAATATCATTTACATATAAGCTCTGAGGATGGTTTTTAGGCTGCAGTTACTCACATCTGCTTAAATCTAATGTGGTAAATCTATCTGCCTCACAGATGCAATTTTCATAATTCTATATTTTCTGTTGTCTCACTGTAAAGTGAGTATCAATTGCTTAAAAAAAAGCATTTAATTTTCCATTTGCCCCCAAAAAAGTTTCAATTTGTTTCTTTTAGGCACTTTTTTTAGTCCACTGCATTTTCACAGGATCATCCAAAGCCTGTCCAGCTCGTTAAGAACGCTTTTAATCACTAAATAAACTGGAGTCTGTGGTCTGAGAGGGGCTAACTGACGCTACACCGCGTGTCCTGCAGTCTGCTCCTTAATCACCCTACATGGGTGCCCAATAAAACGCCCAGCTGCAGCTGCACACACTCATCATGCTGCTGCTCCTGGAAATGAAAATGGGCCTGTGTGATCACTCACCATCAGGCTTTTGATTGCTTTGCTTCCTATTCATTAGCTTAATTATTTGGCTATCAGTAAACCCCACCAAGTAATTAATATCTAAGAGGTTTTGTAATAAATAAAAAACTGGGCACTGAGAAGAGTTTTGGCCTTGCTCTCTAACCAGCTCCATGAGGGGAACAACAACGATTGCTGATTCAACCATGAGCTTATCATCTGTGGGTAGGATTTACAAATACAAATATATGTATATGTATTATTATTATTATTGTCATTATTATTATTATTATTATTATTATTATTATTATTATTATTATTATTATTATTA